AGGTGTGCGCCGGCTTGGTAGTTGCTTTTCATCGCACCTGGCCGTTTCCCACCGCGCCCAACCCCAACATGTTTCCCTACCACCCCCGCGCGCGGCGCCGGCCCCCCCCCCCCCCCCCCCCCCCCAACGAGCTGCCCAAACCTCGACGTTCACACGGGCCCGTAGACCGGGCGGAGGATGCCACGCATCTCGTCGAGGTGCTCTCCAAAGCCTCTGGACCGAGGCAAATACCTTGTCAGGCCTGTTTGGCACCCCATGAAGATGGGATACTTGGAGTGCAGGAGGCCAGGCTTGTGGAGCCAGGTCATAGAGCCGATCTCGCTGGTCAGAAGGTTGACCGGGTCGAGGTTGCTCGGGCCGTTGCCCAGGTCCTCGTTCAAGCACCAACGCGGCGGCTCATAGCACCGCCACTTATAGAGGCGCATCGGCGGTCGTGGAGCAGATCTTCATCCCACTTGATGATCGAGGGGACGACCATCGCGGCTGGGACGGTGTCGCCATTAGGAAGACGATGTACCCGGTCAACTAGACCACCCACGCAGTGAAGGCTCGCCAACCAACAAGCCCTGGCGTTGTTGGTTCCTTCGTCCTTTTCTTTCATTCTCAACCTTCCTTCTTCTTTCCCCTGCTTGGTTTTTGATCTCTGCTATTGGGACGTAGCCGTCTGCAGTTGTGTAGGCAAACACCTTGCCCTCTCAAATTCTAGGAATTGTAGTTGAGGAACTGACTGTCTCTGGTGCCGGGCCAACAGTCAGATATCCCTCCCCTTCCGCATCGAGCGGTGAGATTTTCGGGGCCACGCTTTGTTTCCTCTCTCCTTCACCCACCACTTCCCTTCCTTCTGTCTCCGCCTCCTTCCCAGGCTCTCTGCTCTCACCTCGCCGGCCTCAGCTCCCCTCTTTCCACCTCACCCTCTCCGTCCAGCGGAGCCCTCCCGCCCCGGTATCACAGCGGTGAACCGCGTGTGGTTGCGCGAGCTCACCGAGTTGAGCTTCATGGCAAACCTGCCGGTGCGCTCGCGAGCGACGCGGAGCTGCGCTGCCAGCGTGGTTGGCGACGCCACGAGGATGGCTCCCGCGGAGCTGCCTCGTCCGCGGCACGTGCAGTTGCCCCGTGTACCCCTGCCAGAGGTCCCGCACTTCGCCCTGCATACCTCCTGAGCCACCCGAGGTTGAGCCGTCGTACCATCTCCCCCCTCCCACTCCGCCTCAACTAGTCTCCATCTCAGGGCCTCGAGGTCCGCTTGTAGGCGCCGGTACTTCGGACGGCTTCTTTGACGCATGAATGACGTGGCGGAGGAAGAGGAGGAGCCAGCGGTGACTCGATGGTTACCATCTTGGTCCTTGCGGGAGCAGGAGCAGTTGGCGTGAGCCATAGCGCTGGTTGGTGGTTTTGGGTCCTCTTCCAGGTCCCAGATTCGGATCGCCGTGTAGTCGATATCGGGTTCTGCCCAGGACATCTCAGCACCAGTGTGGCTAAGCTCTGTCATGTTGCTGTCGAGTTGGGGTTTCAGATCCTTATTCCGCGGATCTTGCAACCTCTATGAATGGCAAGGGTGGCCACGACGGAACCGACACTTAGTATGTGGTGGGAATATGTTCTTCACGGTTCCCCCTTCTCGTTCGTCCTCTCCCTCCATCCCCCTTCACACTCATATCGAAATATAATGTTTGCCACTGCAGATGCTCATGCGAAAAGCCTACCTGCCTGTCCACTCTACAAGTGCAGCCATCGAAAATCAACCCGAGCCAAGCAAGTAATAAACAATTAATACGGGTCGCAAGATAGTGCGGACTGGCAAGGCACAGAGATTGCACGTGATGATTTAGGGTCGGGCTGAGCAATAGGTAACCAAGTATTCTCCTCTGTGCCGCAAAGAGGGCCACGGCGAATAGCCGCGATCTCTAGGAAGAAGGTGAATATCCGGTGTGGCGAGACTTCCTGCTTTTGGTAGCCAAGCTTCTCCCTCGACCAATCAACACACCAGCATAATCCTTGCCATGACGTCAACTGCCCTCCATGTGTGCCGCACACTCTACACGCGTAATGCTCTCCTCTATTGGCGTTGGATGATGAAAGATAAGAAGGACAGCATACCCAGATGATTTGTTTTTACTGCCATACCTCATCCATACCAAAGTGAGCGCATCAATATAACATCCATCTCCATTCATCCAGTCAGGTGCAAATCGATACCAACAAAAAGGGGCATTCAACATTGAGTCAAAATACCATGGAGTGGACCAAAGACCAATATAACAGACAGTACGAGGCGTGGGTTCCTTGGCTCGAGGATCTCTACCTCCGATACTTCACCAGCGACAACAAAGCCAGCTACACAGCCAGGGGTACGTCCATGATATTCCTTCCTTCCCTCCCAAACTTGTCCCTAACCAGCCTCTCCAACCTGACTTACCCATCAATGTACCGATCTTCTAACTTCCCCCTCTAGAAAACCTCGACCGGACCAAGATAACCGGCAACGAGCAGATCGACACGCTCCAAGACGGCATCAACAACTTCGCGGCCGGCCAGCTCGGGCAGGGCGGCCTGGCCCAGCCCGTCGGCGACATGGCGTCGTCCGAGGGCGCCAACAGGGCCGAGCGCGGGGGCCGCGACGACAGGGGCGGCTACGTCCCCGAGAGCGCCGGGCCCGCCGCCTCCAAGGCGGGCAATGCCGTCATCGGCGGCGCGGCAGAGGGCGGGAACATGGTCGCGGGCGCGGCGGCGGCGGGGGTCGGGAGTGTGGGCGGGTTGCTTGGGCTTGGGGGGGGGAAGGGGGGGGATGGGAAAAAGGGGGAGGAGCAGGAATAAGACTCAGTAGGTTGGCGCCCCGGATGGAAGGGCTATACGGGAGGTCGTGGGTGTTTGTATGTGTGTCATGGGTTTCATTGGCTTGCGTTGGGGTTCTTTTTATTTGCCCTTCTTGGGCTACCTTCACTCTGATTCTGCATTTGTCCTTTGTGTGTAATATTATTGTTCAGTGGAAGGAAATAAACGAAAGAAGCAGCAATATCACGTCAATTCATATTTCTCCCATGGCATAGCCGAGTTGGGGATGCAGGTGGTCCTTTTGGCGTATTAATTACCAGGAACCTAATCATCGTTGGCATTCCCCCGACGGCGGAGGACGCTAGGGGCGGCGGCGGCCAACTCCTGTTTTGCTTCGTCCTTCACAATCTCGGCACCCTGAGTGATGGCCTTCCGGGTTGCCTTCGCATCAATACCAACCGCCATCGCCCTGCCCTCCAACTTCTTCGTCATCGCCTGCGCGTTCTGTGCGCGAGACTTCAGCCCCGCCAGCATCTCCTTTTGCTTCTGCAGGGTTTGTCAGGGTACAGCGTACTTTAAGCAGCGCGTTGCGTCTTTCTGCCAGTATGAGAGATGGCAACTCACCTTCCCCACAAGGTCCGCAATCGCCTTGCTCGATTCGGCGGTGTACTTTACCAGCTTTGCCTGCGCGTCGCTGTTGTCACTCGATATCTTGGCCAGGTCGCCCATGAGCTCGAGCCCCCGGACGATGTAGCCGCGGTGAACGCCGTTATACATGTCGGCGATATCGTAGAGCAGGGAGAAGTAGGCCTTCATCTGCAGCGTCACCATGTAGAGCGTCTGCATGGTAATGTCGTCGGTGGTCAGGTAGCCGTTCTTGAAGCTGCGGTCGCCCGTCTTCTGCATGGAAACCTGGAAGCGGTCCACCTTTGGCTGGATGTACTCGCTGATGAGGAGCTGCAGGCGCGTGAAGAAGGTCTCGATGCGGCCGATCTGAACTGTCAGATCCACGAGGACAGCGATACAATCTCGGAGGACGTCTTTGATGTTTTCCTAATTTGTCATGGTCAGCCGCGTCTCAGGAATGTCCAGGGAGCGAGGGATCTTACCAAGAGCTTGCCGTTCTCTCGGAGGGTTGCCAGTTTCTTTTCAATCTCGACCATGGCGGTCTTGGTCTTGGCCTGCTTCTGGAGGGCCTCGTCGTACTTGTCTTGAGCGAGGTCCAGGGCGGCCTGCGAGGTCTGAACGGCCTGCATGGCGTTGCTGATAGCGGCATTTTCTGCGCAAGGCATGGGTCAGCGGCAAGATTGATGGAGCTGGTCGCTAAGCTGGCAAGCACCTACGAGCAGACAGATCCGGCTTCGGGATGTCAATCTTGACTTCGGCGAAGCGATTGGGCATAGCAGTGCCGGCGGTCACGTTGGCAGAGGCGTTCAGAGCAAGAATGGTGTCCCTGGCAGACTTGACGTCGGCCTTCCAGGCGGCAAATACATGCTCGGGAATTGGGGCTGCCGAAAGATCCTTGCGGAACTCAACCGCATCCTGGATGCTCTTGGCGACCTAGCCCATCATGTGTTTGTCAGTCCAGTCCCTCTCTTACTGGCCATGGGGCAAAACAGGGATTCATCCTCCACTCACCTTCAAGGCTAAGTCGATAGCAGCGATCATATTCGTGCTCGTTTCCGTCTGCGTCAGCTCAGGGCTCGACTTGAACGCATTCAGGTTGCCAATCAACCAGGCACAGACCTGCTTCTGCCCCGGCTCGCTGTTCTCGAACTTGGCCCAGTCAAGCTTACCAGCAGCGCCACCCACGAACTCGTAAAAAGTGGTTAGAAGCGGGCAGAGCTGCGCCGCGACGTCGAGAGCCGAGTCGTGACGGCCCGGCGCCGGTGAGGCGAGACCTCCCTGGCTGGCTAGGCCGGTCAGGAGGCCGTTGACAGCGCCGTTCTGAAGACCATTCTGGGGCTGCGGCTGCTGGCCCAGACGCAGTCCAGAACTGAGCGCCATGCTAGCTCCCGCAACCGGGTTGACTGCTGCTGCCAATACGGTGGGCAGGACGCCGGCCACGATGGAGGGAACTGCTTGGGCCTACATCAGGGACTGTGTGGTTAGCTATGGGGCAGGGAAAAGAATGCGAGCAAGAACAGAAAGGAATTCACTTACATATCCATTTACGGTGCTCATCGCCACCGTAGCCCAGGGCCCCGGAACATTCTCCGTTGCACGATCTGCTCAGGAAGTCAGCGGCTAGCTCCAAGCTAGAGATAGGTAGGTTGGGACGAGCACACACCAAGTCTCTGCTCCGCCCTCTGCACCCTCTTATCAAGGGCCGCAACGGCCTCCTTGGCCGACTCTATGTTCTGCTTCGTGACGCTTTCCTCAATCTCGCTCGCCTGCACCTGCCCCTCGACAGTCCTGGCCTCGCCGTGCGTGTTGCCGCGCTGCTGCTCCGATGAGGCATGCAGCTCTTTGACCATGTTGCGCCAAAGACCGAAGGCCTGGCGCATTTCGGTCGCCACCGTGGAGCAGCGGCTCGCCTCCTTGTTGAGCAGATCCAGCGCATCCTTGAAGTCTTCGAACGACTCGTCCGTCTCGTTCAGAGCGCTGAGCCGGTCGAAGACTTCTTTGATCTGATGAGGTGATATGTAAATATCAGTGCGTGTCTTTCTGGGAACAGAGACTAAGGGGGCTTACTGCTCCGTCTTCCGAGTTGAAGATGCGCTTCGACGTCGCGGCAAGAATCTCCATGTTCTCTCCTGCGCAGCTGAAAGCTTTGTCGCCACCGATGTTGCAGACTATAATGACAGGATCAGTTAAGCTTGAGCATAGCCTAGGCTTGTGCAATGCGCCTCACCGTCCACCAGCGCCGCGCGAAGCGTCGGCCTGTCCCTGTTGGGCAGATACTGCCACTTTCCATTTGGGCGCGACTCGCCGAGACGGATCGAATCGGCATCCTTGTGGCTGGCAGCAATCCAGCATGAGCCCATGAGCGAAAGGGCGGTCGGCGCGGCACTCAGCAGCTCGCCCCAGTCAAAGCGGAAGAGCTCGGAGCTCTTGACTTCCTCGATGAAGCAGTTGGAGGCTTTGCCGCCGAACGACTTCTCCCACTTGGATTTCTCGAGCTCAATGCTCTGCAGAGTCTCAAGCTGCTGGGTGGAGGCCATCATGAGGGTTTGTTCAAAGATCAATAAGAGTTTGGCAAAACTAATCAAAGTTGGAATAATTATCTTGGCTCGTCAAACCCGCTGGCATTCAATCATCTGAACCAAAGAGAACATCACGTCTTATATTGCTCCTGTCAGTTTCGACCCAGCCGTAGTCCGCGGTTTTACGGGGTTTGCCTGGGTCCCTGAGAATTGCATCGCATTTTGGTGGTGCAGTCTTCGTCCAATACGCATGCTGGCATCTCAATGCAACCTCTGTTGACACATGAGACGACCCTGATCTAGGTTAGCAAGGTGGCGCACCCCCATATTGGCTGACACTCGGCCCAGCCTGGTCAAAGATTCATGCGTGAAGCCGCGCTAGCCCCATGCTGGCGGCCTGCCGTTAGTAGCAGAAGCTGAACAGCCTTCCGCTTGCCTTGGCACCGAATCACAGGCGCAATGCTAGCTCCGAGTCTAGACGGTGGCTGGCCTAGAGCAGTCTCTGCTGTGATATCGAATATTGGGTTGCAAAATGCTTCTACTTCTACGTATTTTCCTACCTCCCTCTCGCTAAGTCGATCCCCTTTGGGCAGTTCGAGTGATCACTTGCCTCTGATGATTCAAAAATGGGCCGCCCTGGGCCCCGTGTCCCGAGGACGGTGGACCAAAAGTGAATGACGCGTTGCAGATGGCGGGGTAAGCACTCCGGGGGCGTGCCAGAGCCTGTCTTGAATCTATCGCTCCAAGGAGTTTACCTTGCGTCGGTCATTTCGGGGTAGAGGTGTTGCAGCATAACCATACTTCACTTTGTCTTGACTTTCCCAGCCTTAATTACCTGCTTCCCAGCTCGGCATCCAGATGCAGCAAGACTTGGTAGAGTCTGGATTTCACTCACGATGTCGGATCATCAGGAAGAGGAAAAAGCCGATGTCATGTACAACAAGAATCCAAGGGGCAGGATTAGTACGTGACCTTGACAACCTCGTCGTCTAATACTAATATCTCACAGAGCAGCTGAGGCAGCAATGGATAGACCGAGACGGCCGTATCAAACTGTCGCTCCAGGAGTTTGAGCAGCAAAAGCAAGACGACAACAAAGGCATCATCAAGAGCCGCGAAGTCGTCGACCGAAACCTCAAGGAATCTTACGATAGCCTCCTCGAAGTTGTCAAAGCCCTCCTCCAGCTTGACGATGGCAGGACCAAGTTGAGCCGCACTGATGCGTCCGTCTTACAGACCCTAGACAAGTGCATCGCTGAGTTCGAGGAGTCCGCCAAGTTTTCTGGAAAGCAGATTGATGCTCTCGGTGCATTAGCCAAGGGTTGTATGATCAAGGGTGACGAGACGAGCGTCCTTTGCAAACAAGCAGCTTCGTGGGTAAAGCGGCTCCAAATAGAGAAGGAGGGCGTGTTGGCCCATAGGGAGACGCTCTGCGAGATGATGGAGAGCTGTCAGCGGCAGATCGTGCACTGCTACAGTGCTAAAGCTCGAGAAATACAGATGAATAGGGTGAGTTAGATGTCTGTGATGGACGCTGCGCATTCAATCCACGTCTCCTAACTCGGTCCAGACAGTCATGGACTCCATCCTGGACTCGCTACACGACGTAGGTTTGGCCGACCGGCTTACAAGCCAAGAGGAGCAGAGCGCCTTCCAGCGGGAGATGGCACGTAAGATACGCGAGCCCCGCAAGGCGCTGAAGAAGCACGATAACAACCGCGAGAATTGCGGCAAGCTCGTGCGCTTCATCACGAGCATTCAGTCCGAGGTCCAGAGCGCCCAGCCCCAGATCGATACCGCCTCCAAGGGATTCTACACTGAGTGCGAGCGCATGGTAGCGGCGAGCAAGAGCGTGAGCAGGATATGGACCGGGCTTATCCGCGTCAAGGACAATATCTGTGCACCCAACTTCAGGACGACACGAGATAACAGCCTCAGGGCCGTGTTGCAGTTGCTCAAGGACGATGACACGCGCGTTGAGGGGAGCTATCCGCGCGCGAGGGAGGTTGAGGAAGAGATTTACAGGGAAATTGATGGAAAGTTGGGAGCTGGGGCGGTGGACAAGTTGAAAGCGCCCATCAAGGTAGAGTTGTCCAAGTTCTCCGTGGAGTGGTAGATTGTTAGATCTTCCTGAAACGAACGCTGTCACACGTTTTCATTCCGAACCTGCCGTGCCAGATGGAACCGTATACCAGTCTATGATAATTGTACTATGAGATAAAAGACTTATGCGGTCCATATTGCGCGCAATGACCCAAGTTGTTATCGCTCTCTGCTGGACATGACAGACAGTCAAGGCTTGGTTGGGATTTGTGAGACGAACAGCATACCATTCAGGGCTACCTATTTATGTCTGTGTCTACAACTATTCGGAGGCTCGATCGCCAGGACAAATGTGGAACGGATCCAGCAAAGCGAGAGCCATTACTTGTAGGCAAATGGCTTCTTGGATTCCCATGGCTTGTTGGCGGACGGATCACCTGCCGTCGTTAGTGCCACACGCCAGGATGGTAAATACAGCTAGGGTCATAGAGTATCTTACCATCGTCACCGACTGAACCAGAACTAGTCTGCGACTTGTATTGAAAGACACTGGGCTGGATCTTCGACGGCTCTGCGCGTGATGATAGTCAGTTGAACTGTACAAAGTTTCACAAAGTAGATCGACATAGACATACCTGGATTAACAATCCCATTCGGAGGAAACAACTCGTCCGCAAGCGGATCCGACTTGACTTTGAAGTCCGGCAGTGCTAAATTTGATACCCATGTTAGCGACTGGTATTAGATGTGTCGTAGCGGGTATCACAGCGAATGCACCTTTCTGCTCGGCTGCATATCTCCAAGCATTCTTGAGATAGTCCAAGTTCTCCTGGGTCCTCTTATACCAGGTGCTGGGAATTTTGTTCCTGTCCACGGCAATCTCGACACCGTTGAAACCATGCCAGGGATCATCTTCTGTTGCAAAAGTAACCCATGTGAACGCCTTGTTCAACCGAAACTGCATGCTCGTACTGAAGGTACCCCAGGCAGGATAAATGGTCTGGCTGGTCATATGTTCGAAGCACCAGTTGTCCACATCATAGGGCTGTCCAGGGTAGGAGCCTCTCCATAGGATGAGCCGGGACACCATGTCCTTGAGAAACTCCTTTTGGTTGGGCTTGACGTCTTCTTTGGTAAGACGCCCCTTATTAGAAGTTTCCAATTGCATGAGCCTCTGGATCAGCTCGAAAACTTGTCTAGGCGTAGCTGGTGGTGGTGGCTTCTTGAAGGGCACCTGCCTCTTGACGAGTGGCCCATCCTGTGTGTAAAGCTGCTTTGGGCCGATGTTGTTCATGGTTTCGTTTTGCTCTGGCGACTTTGATGCATCCAAGGAAATAGAATGACCAAAATGGTTGCATCTCTCACTGGATTGGGCAGAAGCTGCAATTTATGTGCCTTTTTGTTGCTGCGTATGTATGTGTGCCTGGACATGACTCCCGACTGTTTGGGTGCACAGATTTGAAGGACCAGCCAGCGGCTAACCAAGAACTCGGCAACAAAATTGAACGTTCTTGGCAGTCTGGACTGTTGCAATGTGCAAACTAAGAATCTAGGGAGGTACTGAGGCCGGAGTGTGGGCACAGCTGAAACGGCGGCAGGCGCTCATCAGCACAGCCTAACGAGTGAGTGGCTAGCTGGGTAACGCTGCACTCCATCTACAGATTGGGCCAGGCGCCAATATGATGCGCTAGCTCCCCACTAGTTCGTGATATTCGGCACTCTCTGCAGGCCTCGCCCATTCCAGTGTCGTTTCTGCACACATGCTGCTGGACTTCCCTAAACGCTTAGACATTGTTGGGAACGACATCCAATAATTGCGGTCGAGACTCTCGTCTTTCTTCCCTTTTGGCATACTAAGGATTAGCCCACTTCTGGCAGCCACGCCGTCCCATGAGCAGTTCGCTATGATCAATAAGCGGGGGTGGCAAAACTGTTCGGTGGCTGGCTGATGTATTCTTCATTCAGATTGTCACGGGCCAACAGACTGCATAGATCTTGGGCTATTGTTTTTAGGATTTGCAGAGGACATAGAGTTAACAGAAGTGTGAGTGTGAGTTCCCAAGCCAGCGCATTTGTCATTTGACGGCGTGTGCGACTCGAGAGGATGTTGGAAGACTTACAGCCATATGGTGGCTTGATATGGCTGTAAGTCCTCCAACATTGTCAGGAAAGACAGGTCTGTTGATGGAGGCACATTTACGTCATAAGCACATAAACAACAGAGGCGCCAAGTAATTACAACTGCCGAGATAAGCCAGGAGTATTTGAAGCAGGAACAGTCGTTGTTGTTACGGCATGTAAGTGGAATGATGATGACTACCCGCTAGCTAAGACCCATTCTGCGCCTCGGCCTCCTTGATCTTCTGCTCGACCTCCTCGGCGGTGAGCGTCGGCGTGTTCTCCTCCATGATGTCCTGCGCCTTCTCGAGCTGGGCGAAATGGGCAGCACCATCGGCGATGTAGGCCACCTCAACCTCCTTTCCGGCCTCCACCTCCGTCTCCTCCTGCTCCTGACCAGGGATGAAGCCGATCTGGGGATTGAACGGCGAGTAGGAGGTTCTGACCTTCTTGCGACCGCTGCGGCAGATCTTGTCGAGGGTTCGCAAGACAAAGGTCTGGCAGTTGCAGTTGATGGCGTGATACGACTCGGGCATCTCGTTGATCGCTTGAATGGCTGTTATATCCATGGTCAGCATGCCTTTCTGGCCCGGCGGTGAGGATCTCGGTGCGGAGGTGGAAGGAATGGGAGGATGAGAAAGAAGTGGTAGAGTATTGGTATCACGAACCGGCAGAGACGATGGCAACATCGTTGTAGTTGGTCGAGCCAACCTCATATTCGTCCCAGGCGCCCTTGAACTGATCATACACATCGTTTTCGTAGAAGTTCCAGCCGTCATTGGCCTGCAGCTGATGGTACCACCCGCCCACCTTGACGGCCCAGTGGTGCGCCAGGTCCGGGACACTATTTGGTATCACAAAGCCGCCGAAGAGGCCCCTGCCAACTTTGCCGGCCCACCCGCCGACAGCACCGCCCAGAGTGCGGTGCACGATATACACCTTGCGTTCGTTGTCGTTGATGTTGAAGCCGCCGGAGGGCACCCGGTCGATATTGGCGTTATGGCGAGGCATGATGAAGGCTTAGTTGGGACTTGGAGAAAGAGACAATGATGATTTAATGGGGAGGGAGGAGAGTGTGCTTAAACACGGAATAAGTCTGTGGCTATATATAGTAGATTGAAAAGCTCGACAACAAAGCAAAGTGCTACACCCTACCCATACAAGTTGGCTGTGGGTGGGTTTCTGGAGCACATGGGAAAGGCTGAGGAAAGAAGCCTATTGAGTTCAGCTGTGACGAAAACCAATAGTCGCACAACCATTGCGGATTTTCTCCCGATTCTTTTTTTCTTTTCGCAGACCTCGTTCCCAATGGACCAGCTGGGTCAAAAATGTGGCTTGCAGTAGGGCAGTGCAGGAGACCCCTTTCAGGAGCGGGGAGCCCAGCTGACCCCAAGCGTATTCAGCTTCCGGGCTTGCGTTGAATCTAGACTGAAGTCGGCTGCAACCAGTCCACATCCGGGGCAAGCCTTTCCGATATCTACTCTTAGCGAAGATATATGTACTCCCTCCTGTCCTGGAACTGTGGGAATCCATATCTAATCAATCACTCCCATTCGCTCACTCAACAGGAATTGGATCAACATGAATAACACCGAGGACAAGAATAAAACCACTCAGGAGCCGGAGACTCCTGTCGGCGACCACAGATGCATCTTCATCCCTCCCCAACTTTTAGCTGCTGTCGCTGGAAGCAGCAGCCAGCAAGAGAATCATGCCAGCGCCCCTGACGCAGTTTTCCAGCTTCAAATCACCAACAGCACTTCCGCGGTAAATTGTCTCGCGCTTTAAGAGTCATGTAACCAACTAAACCACCCGCAGATTGACGACCGAGAGGAGATCAGTCTCTCCGTGAAAAAGGCCCTGGACAGCATCACCCACGCCCAAGTTCCAGCAACCGGGCGCAACCGGCAGGTCTATGACCTCCAGTTCAACAAGCACCCTTCTGCCTTCCCCGGCGTCCTCGTGCGATCTGAAGGCGAGCCCAGCTGCGGGGACAAGACCGCCGACGCCCTCTACGACAACATGGGTGTCGTGTACGACTTTTTCGAGCAGGCCTTTGGCGATGCCAACATCTTCCGCGACCACCACCCGCCCATCGGCATCGTGCACTACGATTTCTACTATGCCGGCGCCTGGTTCCACGTGCCCTACCCGTCCGACTCCCCCATTTCCAGGCACCAGGCCCTCATATGCGGCGACGGCTGGGACAACGACCCCTGGAACCAAGGCGGTGCGCTGAAGACGTACGGGGGCTGCTTCGGCAACTTCGCGGCCAGCATCGAGGTTGTGGCGCACGAGATGGCGCACGGGTTCGTCAACGCCGTGTGTGGGCTCGGCCTGGGGGGAGAGCCGGGGATCATCCACGAGCACCTCGCCGACGTGTTTGGCATCATGTGCGAGCAGTTTAGTAAGGGGCAGACGGTTGAAGAGGGAGATTGGTTGGTCGGGGAGGACCTCGTCGCGCCCGAGTGGAAGGGGGTGGCGATGCGGTCCTTTAAGGCACCCGGAACGGCGTACCTCCTGAAACACATCGGGATCGGCGACGATCCGCAGGTTGGGCACATGAAGCGGTTCTATTCAGGCACGCAAGACGGCGGGGGGGTGCATATCAACTCGGGAATTCCAAATCGGGCGTTTCATCTCGTCGCAACCGGGCTGGGAGACAAGTTCTCATGGGAAAGGGCCGGGCGGATCTGGTATGCGGCTCTCACGCGGGGGGCGGTCGCGCCGGACTGTGGCTTGGAGCGATGGGCGATGCTTACACTGCGGGCGACGAAGAAGACGCTGAAGTATGGCCCTGTTGCTGTGCAGGTTGTCTGGAACGCTTGGAAGGAGGTTGGTATCATTTTGCCGGCTGAGATGGTATCTTGAAAAGATGATTTTTAGTAGAATTTGGAAACTCCAAAGGCCTTTTCATACGGCGGTTCTGGCAGCGGTAATCCAACCAGCACTCCCCAGACCACCACCCCTTCCAGTGTCGTTTCTGCACACATGCTTACTTGGCCAGAACTATCGTTCTTCGCCAGCGCTTGCATATCAGTCTGATACCAGTTTAGGCAATGAGTAGCGAGTCTGATCGGCAAAGTCGATTTGAAGGGTCCAATATCACACCCGGATGACTAGGCGAGTCCTGGACCACAGCGGGCACCTATCAGCCGCGTCTTAGCGCCGTACCTTGCGGGGTATGGTACTCGGATAGTCACTGCCCGAGAACGCGCCCGAAGGTAATGAATGGGGTATGAGCAAAGCAGGTATCGCTTGCTGTGCTTGTAGACTCGGAGGCGGCCAAAGCCGTTCGATACCAGGTTCTTCGACCCAGCCCGTGATGTGCTTTGCAGGGGGATTGGGCCATCGTGTCATGACAACCTGGGGGGGGGGGCGGGGGCGGCGTTGAGGAAACTCCGATGACTTGAGCGTCTCGTCTCTGCCAAGTAAATGTGGCTATTTTATACTGAGGTGGACTACTGTACAGCTGACTTCAACAAGTGTTTCTACTGGGGTGAGAGAGTACAGAACTTTGACTTAGAAAATACGTGGTGCGAAATAGTTACAATCTTCATTTATGCGAGTACTGCCACGATATGACTACTACCACCCTGTAACGAATGACCGTAGTCAATGATATCTATCTGGCTTTTCAATATTTAACCCACAGTTGTCCAGCCGTCGGCTCCTTCATCTAAGAGGGAGCATAGAGTCAGCACAGTCTCCCACAACACACTCCTCGTCGGCGAAGACACAACCGGACAATGAAGCTTACTCTGGAGGAAAACTGCTGGCTTGGTTTGGTAAATGCTACCAATCTCCCTTGCGTTCTCTAGATAAACCCCTAGGTCGGTGCATCCGACTTCGAGGGCGTAATTAAAAACCGGTTGCTGCTGGAGGGTCGTGCCATGGCAAATGTCGAGAACTTTCTGCCCGTGGCCGTTGGCGGGTACGAGCACGGCAAAGCAGTGAGCACTAAACCCGGTTCGATCGGCATCATCCCACGGCACATCCCACCTATGACTTGCCTCGTCGTTGGAGTACGACTCCCAGTCGAACCAGAAGGGAGAGTTACAGTGCCGAGAGGCGTGCTCTTGCCAACCGAAGAGCGGGCCGTGGGGCACATAGCCCCAAGGCCTACCAGAAATGACAAAGGTTTCCGAAATCTGACAAAACGGGTCAGCACAGTTCGCCTCTTCGTAGCGGATGTACTCGTATTACCCGAATCTCTTTCTGGTCGTGGGGCCCTGGCCTGCAGCCGAGCGAGAGGCAGCCCGCCCATACTAATGCCGCAAGATCCCAGCAGTTGCAGGGGTTGACAAAAGCATGGAAGTGGTCTCCCAGAAAGCTCGATATAGAGACGTTCTTGTCGACCAGATACGTCGATCCACCTCCACTCGTGCTTGTGTCGTACTCTATACCATGGATGGAACCCAAATTCCAGAGGTTCCATGCGAGGTGTCTGACCACATCTGCCTCCACGACGGGCCATGTTTTACCCTGGATGAGACTGTAGGGGGGGATGGTTCTGCGGATGAGCTCCAGACAGTGGTCCTTCTTCGCGTCATGCATGGCTGTGTTCCCAAGGAAGAAATACAGCTCCATTCGGACAGGGTGCGAAGTGCCGACGGCTTCGTGTCCGCCGAAGCAGTACAGTTCCCAAATCCAGTCTCCAGAAGCTCTGAAAGGGGAGTCGATCTCGCCGTCTTGTAGTTGGGAGGAAAACGTATTCATAGCCAAGCCCATGTTTGCCGTGTCGAACTCCTGCACCGTGTAGCCGTCTCCTTCGTGCAAGAACTGGTCTGTGGCGATGCGAAGGTTACCAGGACTTGTGCCGACCAGACGATAGGCGAGCGTGCCATTCAGAAAGCAAAACGATCCCGCAAAGTGCAGAACTAGGTGATAGGACTTCCCTGCGTTTCTGACGAGCTTGAAAGCAGCCGGACGGTTGCTTTCGTCGCCATTTTGCGGCTGGGGTTTTTCGATCTCGTATAGTTCAGGATCGATCAGGGTACGGCTCTCCGTTCCAAACCCGACTCTGATGAGTTGCGCAGAGTCATCGTTGAAGGTTCTCGAGATCTTTGAGATACGGAGGTAGTTGTTCGCCGCATTCATGTTCAAGGAAGCGTGAGAATTTTGCGTTTGTCAAGACTGCCCGTTCAACACTGCGGCTTAATTATAGGCAACGAAATGGCTCCATGTATTACTCTCTGTGTTAATGTCTACATGGCTGCTCTTCTATTCCCCGCCTGCTGAATGCTCGCCATGGCGCGCGTCCGCCCACCGCCCGCCGCCCACCGCCCGCCGCCCACCGCTACACACCCCATCCACCCTTGTAGCAAGCATCTATCCAGGTCCGCATGCGTATGACAAACCCAACATTTGTGGCTGCCGATCAGCTGCTGGACTTCCCTAAACGCTTAGACATTGTTGGGAAGGACATCCAGTAATTGCAGTCAAGGCTCTCGTCTTGCTTCCTTTTTAGCATACTAAGGATTAGCCCACTTCTTGCAGCCATGCTTGGTGCGTTGTTACCATTGCAGCTAAGGTACAATATATTGACCAGGTAATCGTCTGGCTTCTTGATTAGGTAGCATTGCAGGTGGCAGAATTGTTTGGTGGCTGGCTGATGCAATTATTCTCCATGCAAGCCACAGTCCCATGACCAGTGCGCTGTGATCAACGTAGCTGAAGCGGGGGTGGCAAAACAATTCGGTGGCTGGCTGGTGTATTCTTCATTGAGATTGTATCGGGCTCTATTGCCAGGTGGCCAAGCAATTAGAGGACACGAGTCAAAGGGCCCCTCTGCTCGGCATCTTCACTTGCTGTTGCAAAGTCTAGGCTAATTTGCGCCTGAAAGAGCCATGCCATCCATTGCTTCACTGTTTGAATGGGACTGTATCCTTCTGTACATATAATTATCTCTAGGCGTCAGAAACTTGAACATCTTCACCCAAGACACGGTCTGGTCCTCTAATTGCATACTTTCTCTTCCACTCTTATCCGAAAGTTCCAGATCTAATACGCAGCCATGCCATTTGAATACTCTGGCAGTAACAAGCCACCCCTGCCGCCTCCAGGGACGACACAGCCAATTGCCATAACATCGAGTTCTTCCCCAGGAGTTCATCGCGACGCTGTCCCACCTGTCAATCCTTCCAGCAGGGGCGTGACGGGACAGCCATCGACAGCCGAGTCGACAAGTTTTGGATACAGCAGAGACCCCGGTGCCAAGGCAGGCCAATTCACAGGTGCTGCTGGCAGTAGCACGTCTACACAGCCGTCTGAAGCCAAAGCCCCATTGTTTGCATACAACAGGGGTCCAGGCACGACCACAACCCAGCAGCCAGTGCCGAAGGTAAGTTAAATCACCCCCCTTCCGGCCACCCCCACCTTCCGGCCACCCAAAAATCCGACTTACACCACCACTACTACTTTATTCAACCTGACTTTCTACCTTCCTTGATTTTACTACAATACAACTGCCTGACTCACTAGGTAATTCAGGCTCGCTGAATTCATCTAGACCATCCTCAATATGACCAGCCTCCAATTGAGCCTTCCAGATTGCCTCAATGTTGGCAAACTTCGAATTTGGGCTTAATTTGACCTTCTTCTTCTTCCTAGGCTGTGCAGCTTCAAGCTGGGCCTCTAGTGATTCAACCTTCCGTAAAGAAGTGGCCAACTGGATGTCTTTTTCGTCAAATGCCTTGTGGATCTTCTGGAATAGTAGTCGTTGTGTGGAAGTAGGTTGCTCTAGGTGGCTAAATTGATGTAGTTAATCTTAAAGCTTTGTAGCCTTTCTAGGAGTTGACTATACTACTGCAGCTGTATCCAAGTTCCATTGAAAGATAGGTTTACCACCAATTGCATGCTAAGAAGTCGAATTTTCCAGATCTTGGGCCTTTTTATTGGAGTTTTCCAGCAAGAGTGGGCTAAGTAGGGGTTTGGTCATAGAGACTAGCCATAACCCTGTAGCTTTCCACCCACTCTTGATATTCTGACTAGTCAAAGCAGTCTTGCAGGCCTTTCGGTAGCAGGCTAGGAAATTCTGCTTTCCTACTACTATAGAATCCACCCACTAAGCAAAAAAGCCAAGCTCTTTCCAGTAAGCTGTTTTGAGAAGTCTAAATACCGAAAGATCTAGTGGTTGCATGACATGAAAGGTATGTAAAGGTAAGAAAAGCAGGTAAATCTTGTGCTAGAAGCAAAGCCACATAAACTTGGTTGTTTTGTAACTGCTATAGCCATCCAAGACTAGTAACTGGTACTTAGAAGAGTCTATTGGCTAGGTCTTTAGAATAAAGACCTTTTAGAGCCATTTAACAGCAGCATTATTAGAAATCCAGCTATTTTCGGAAAAGGAGAACTTCCATGTAGCATAAGGAGCTAGTTTGAATGGAAACCATTAGGCTTGAAGCGATTTTCCTTTGAATATAACCAGAGAATCCAAGGCAGTACTAGTTGCTAAGATACACTCTAGGAAAGTCGTCCAAGCGCGTAACCTAGGCTTTTTCTTTCAAATTGCTCTCTTCTCAGAGCCTCCTAAGACTAATCTATTAAATCCCTAGCCTTCCATAATCCCAGATTTGTCTATATTATACCAGTTGTGTGGCTTGATGGCTTAGATAGCTGGAATCTTCAGATATTGAAACCAATGTCTAATTACATTAGTTGTAGCCCTGTTAACACGTTTGGAATCAATAGATTTGCTTTCCTAGGTCCTAACAGCTAGATTCTTGCGTAAAAAGGCCTTAACCTAACGCTTTCCAAGTGGCTAGGAGTCTCCTTTAGCTTGCAAGACTTGCTCTGCAAATTCCTTCAGCTGAAAGTGAGAAGGTGGAAGTCCTAGGGCAGCCTAGGTAAGAACCTATTAAGCTAGGTGGCTTTCCTAAAGTAGTAAGAGCCTTTGGTAATTCGAAAATGCATCTTTCCAAGGTGTGGTACCATTGAGGCAGTCCTAAAGAGTAGTCCTTGGAACCTCCCATTCCAGAGAAGCCTTGCATAGACTTTAACCATTCGCAATAGCCTGCAAGGCCTGATTGACGTCATCTTTGGTATATGGCTTTATTGTCAACTGATCAAGATAATTGCAAAAAGTAGGCTTAATTAGGCTTAATTTGATCAAGGAATGGAAGTTTGTTTGGTGATGGTTGAAATGGCGGTGTGGAATTTTTGGGTGGCCGGAAGGTGGGGGTGGCCGGAAGGGGGGTGATTTAACTTATCGGACCCCTCAAGGCAACAACAGACCATAGAGATCAAGGGGTTCTCTATCTCCAAGAAAGCCGCCGATATCTTTGCCGCTGCCGTGACGGGTGGCCTCGACTCTAAGCTAAAGAACAATGCCTCCCTCGACCAGGCCACTGTGGCTTCTCTTGCCCACGGAGTCAGCGGGCTGGACCCAACCATTGTTGGCTCCGACGCCTCCGAATGGCCGGGCGCCTTTCGCGTGCAGTACGTCTTCAAAAACATCACCAGTCCAGAGTACCGCGTCCTGGTTGATATTGTGAGCCTCGCGGATGCCCCTAGTGCTCAGAGGGCCATGAAGTTGTACCTGGACAGGTTTGAGACGGACATTGCCGTTGTGACCAAGAAGCTTGACCAGAAGATTGGCCAGGTCGCAGTGCAGACGGAGGGTAGCGTCTTTTGGGTCAGGGATGCCATGTGGGTTAGGGTGGTGGGTGTGCCGTTGCTGAAAGGTCAGTCACTTGTCCTTCATCATCTCGCTTTGATTCAGAATATGGGGAACTCTAACCGCATAGCTCAGGCTCTCAAGGTAAACGAGTTCTGTCTAGCGCAGGTAAGGCCACATCACTTCATCAACTTAGCGGTGTCACCGCCTCCTCAGGGAAGAGCTTTTCATACGGCGGTTCTGGCAGCGGTAATCCAACCAGTACTCCCCAGACCACCGTCCCCTCCACTCGTGCAGGCTTCTCGTACTCCGGCGGCAGCTCCAACCCGTCGCAAACCTCGAATCCTCTCGCCGGTAGAGAAACCCCCAGCACCAGCCGTCCAGTCCCTATCCTCCCCACCCTCGTCGAGCTCGCAACCAAGCTCGACGTCCACCTCCAAAAATATGCCGTCCAGCCACTCGAGCAGCGCAAGCCCAATCTCGCCTTGGCGGGCGACTCCAAATCGCTCAAGATCCCGTGGGGGAAAACCATGGCCGTTAAATTGGCAGACGCGAGCGGCACGCACGCACTCAAGCCGGCATACCCGGCCGACGGGACCGTCGCGTCGCCGACGCAGAACGGGTCGGCGAGCGGGGAGTACACCATCATGGGCAAGATGCCTGGGCTGACAACGGTGAGCTTGGTGGTTGTCCGCGCCGATAACTTGGCTGTTGGGACGGTGGACTTGCAAGTTGAGGTTGTGAGGGAATGATTTCCATCCCTCCATCTAAGCTGTTCATATTAAAGGGGCTATATTGGGAGTTTGGGGGGGGGGGGGGGGGGGGGGGGGGGGGGGGGGGGGGGGGGGGGGGGGGGGGGGGGGGGGGGGGGGGGGGGGGGGGGGGGGGGGGGGGGGGGG